TCATCATTACTACTATAATGACAAGAACGCAGTGGTAATGATAATAACAATAGTGATAAGATATATAGGTAACTATTAATAACAATAAAAATAATGTTAATCTACATTATAATTTTAAGTAATTACAGCAAGAAAAAAATATATCAAAATGTTTAAAATAACATTCCTGTCACCTAGCAACAATTGTTCATCCACTCTCTCAATAAATGAAAATACAAAACACCAGTTAAAAATAAAAGACTAAAAGTCTAAAACACCGACAATTTATCGCCCAAGCCAACTAAGCCTTGCGCTAATTGACATTTCTCTGAAGCCACGTTCGGCCTCATTCGCTTCCGAGTATCACCCAGAATTAATTTCTTTAGGCCGGCTGGGAGGCAAAAAAATTACTTGAGAGTCAGTGAAACGTGAAAAGTTCTCGAAAATGGATTCATTCCTTTTTTTTCTTCTGCAAATACGTTGTAAGTAATTGGCAGAACACATACATATGTATATAAGTGTATGCGGAAGAGGTAGGAGGAGGAGGAGGACTAGAAGAAAAAGAAGAAGAAAAGAAGAAGAAGAAGAAGAAGGGGAGGAGAGAGGGGGAGAGAGGGAGAGCGAGCGAGCGAGCGAGCGAGCGAGAGAGAGAGAGAGAGAGAGAGAGAGGAGAGAGAGAGAGAGAGAGAGGAGAGAGAGAGAGAGAGAGAGAGAGAGAGAGAGAGAGAGAGAGAGAGAGAGAGAGAGAGAGAGAGAGAGAGAGTGAGAGAGAGAGAGAGAGAGAGAGAGAGAGAGAGAGAGAGAGAGAAGAGAGAGAGAGAGAGAGAGAGAGAGAGAGAGAGAGAGAGAGAGAGTGAGAGAGAGAGAGAGAGAGAGAGAGAGAGAGAGAGAGAGAGAGAGAGAGAGAGAGAGAGAGAGAGAGAGAGAGAGAGAGAGAGAGAGAGAGAGAGAGAGAGAGAGAGAGAGAGAGAGAGAGAGAGAGAGAGAGGAGAGAGAGAGAGAGAGAGAGAGGAGAGAGAGAGAGAGGAGAGAGAGAGAGAGAGAGAGAGAGAGAGAGAGAGAGAAGAGAGATAGAGGAGAGAGAGAGAGAGGGGGGGGGGGGGGGGGAGATGGAGATGAAAAAGAGAGGGGGGAGAGGGAGGGAGGGCATGTATGTGTTTACGGGTGTTTGCGCGTGTGCTATCATTAACCTCCATTTTTACTTCCATTCTTTTGAGTGGCGTAACTGGCGGGCCTCCATCCTCGCGACTCCCACGTGGGGACCGCCTGCGCACCCGCTCTCGTCTGCTTCTCCACTTTCTCCTCTTCGTCTCTCTAACGCCTTTCCTCGCTTTATCTCATCGCCCCTTCCATCCTATCACCTCCTGGCCCACTTCCCTCTCCTACCCTCTTGTCACCATTCCTTTAGCTCTCAATCCCTCTGCTTTCCTCCCTACTGTCCTCTTTTTCCTCCTCCCCCCCCTTCCTGCTCTTTCTTCCCCCACTCTACCGCTCCCTCTCACGTTACCCTTTTCCCATTCCCTTCTCTTCTCACATTTTCCTTCGCTTCACTTTCATCTCCTTTCTTTCTTCCTCTCATTACCTTTTCCATTCCCTCTCTACCTCCATCCTTTCCCCGCCCCCAGCCACAGCATGACAGACTGCTCGTGCCAAAGTTCCCTTGTCAATTTCTGTGACACATTCTCCTCGCGCCCATTGGCAAACCCTAAGGAAGTGGTCACAGCTCGTCAGCTCTCGCTCTCCCTCTCTTCTCTCTCGTCTCTCGTTTCTCCTCTCTAGTCTCTCGTCTTCCTCTCCGTTTCTCGTTTTCTCATCTCTCTTCTTCTCCCTTTCTCTCCCTCCCGCCTTCCTTTTCCCTCTCTCAAAGCTTCCTCTTTCCTCCTTTTCATCACCTCTCCCTTCTCACCTTAACAGCCATGCCCCTATTCTTTATTAAATTTCTCCAAACTGATTGAATTAACGCAATTCTTTTCTCCTGATTTCCGCGAACCCTTTTCTTTTAAGCAAACTTCTCTTCCTTTCCTTTTACATTTGCCTCTGCCTGCAATCGTCCTAATCATCTCAAAGCTCTTTAATCAGAGCCTTTCCGGGGCGTGGAATCCAGTCAAGTTCTATTTGTGTCAGAAATAAATAAAACAGTCACGTTGGGGGATCACTCCCTTCATAAATGTGTTCAGAAATGTTTAGCTCCTTTGGTTTAGCCTCTCCTCGCTCTCACCCTCCCTCCCGATCGGGAAAGGAGAGGAAGGGAGAAAAAAATGTGAAAAGAGAGAGAGAGAGAGAGAGAGAGAGAGAGAGAGAGAGAGAGAGAGAGAGAGAGAGAGAGAGAGAGAGAGAGAGAGAGAGAGAGAGAGAGAGAGGGAAGAGAGGAGAGAGAGGAGAGAGAGGAGAGAGAGAGAGAGAGAGAGGGGGGGGGAGAGAGAGAGAGGGGGGGAGAGAGAG